ACATAGTACATTCAAGGCCCCCCTGTACTGCAAAGCAAGACCCTGTCTCAGACAACTGAGGAAAAGCTTATTACGGGGATAGTGTGTGGCTCCCCAGTAGAGTGCTTGCCTAGCATGTACCAGGTCCTGAGTTGCATTGCCGGGACTGCAAAAAAAAAAAAAAAAAAAAAAAAAAAAAAAAAAAAAAAAAAAAAAGAAGAAGAAGAAAGAAAGAAAGAAAAACAAAGAGGAAGAGGAAGTGACACTTGTCATTTCTGTTTACAATTTACTGGGTCCAGCCAATCACAAAGATGTCTGAGCTCAGTCATGAAGTTTTATAGCTACATGTGCTCCGAGTTGCAGAGGCAGAAATGTGTGGTGAACAGATTAATGACCATCTCATGGAATAAATACAACACTTCTCAAAATTGTTGCTAGAAACCTGTCATCACAGGGCTTTTGAAATAGTGAAGACACTGGATTTTTGGTGGGAAAATACCAAGGTCCATTAAAAACAAATCCACCCACAACTGTCTTTCTTCTCCTCGATGTATTTTTTATCAGCCTCCTCCAGTTGCAGCAAATCTGTTAGTTACAGATCTCACTCAGATTACCATCCAACACCTGTTATCCCGTTTGTAAGATTTTTGTGAAAAAGTTTGTGAGACAGCTTGCTGAAAGCACAAGCTGTTTGATCTATATATCCATTTTAAGTTACAAGCCTATTTATTTGAAACAAGGTGGATTTGTTTTGGATCTATCAACTGCACCCATGGTTGAATCTATTTAAATGCAAGTACAAAAGAAGAAATCCTACATAAAATGTCATTGAACGTTCAAGTCATAAAAATGGATTCCAAAGTGTATTTGGAAAACACCAAAACACGAAACTACTTTACATGAATGGTATACTCACTCACATGTATAAGAACACATGATTGCATGGAAAGTATGAAGCTGAGTCTGTCTAGGAGATAAACAACATGAATTAGGAAGGTTTGGGCATGAAAGCAGCATCCACCTTCCATGTGAAGTTGCACCTGACTGAAGACAAGTGCCTCCTTAGGCTGCACAGGGTAACACAGAAAGCACAATTTCTTGCAAACCTGAAGCAATTTTCAAGAAGGACAGGTATTTTAATGCAATATGGTACGATGCAACCTTCAGTGTCATCCCGGAGCTCTGAGCATCTTGTCCCTTGATTTCTATGTAAGATGGCTGGCAGAAGCCGGTGGGAGCTTTCAGCCTTAAGCATGGGCCAGCAGACTAAGTCAGCTAATAAGACTAGCTTTTCCAAAAGGGGTTGTTTTTGCTTACAAAATGGAATCAACAAGCCCATTGACAGTGGATATAGTATGGGTTACACCCCGACCTGTTCTGAAAATAACTCAAAGCAAATTACCTGGGTGTCTGTAAACCCCAAGAATGGAGAATCTTAAAAAACAAGAAAACAACAAATCAGGAAGGACATTTTCTTCATGCGTTCCCTGATTAAGAGTGAAAGTCACCTTCCACTCTTTCCCAAGTCTTAGAGAGAAAGCAAGAAAGAAAGAAAGAAGAAAGAAAAGAAAAAGAAAGGAAAGAAAGAAACTGAAGACTTTCCGAAAACTATTGTGACTGTAGAGAATGTTGCTGATTTGGAAAGCTCCGGGATTGTAAGACCATAGCTTTAGTGGTTTGCTTTTGTTGTTATTGTGGGAAAAATGCGATAGGGGTGTGGTGCAGAGTAGAAACTGGCGGGAGAAAAGCACCACAGAGAGGAAGGCTGGCACTACAAGCGAGGAGCCTTCGCATCTGGACCTGCTTCTGTCTCTCAGTTCTGTGGCATCTGGCTAAGGGTGTGCCCTCTCTGGGCCTCAGTGTCCTCTCTCATTAAGCTAACACAGCGGCTTAGAGCCTATAAGGACAGACAGCTTGTTCATTTAGTGCTTTTATGCCGCCTCTGTAATTTCATTAGCTGCTCACAGCAGCCTGCTGAGACACCCTAAGTGTGCCCTTTCCTCCCTGCACGTGACACTAGTGCAGAGACTCACGCAGCTCCAGGTGGCTCAGGTCACACGCTCGCACCCTCAGAGCTTCTGACCTCACCTATTGTTTGCATCAGGCGGTTGTAATGTTTTCAGCTGGCAAGGTAGAGAGCTGTAGAAGCATCTTTCCTTCCCTGTTAGTTTTAATTTGAAGTAATAGTTAAGGACACTTAGTATTAAGTAAGGATACTTAGTAGCCACCTCTGCAGTGTCAACCCTGAGAAACAGTGGGAAGGGGATCATCCAGCAGGATGTGTGAAATTCACAGCTTCCTTAAGATTTCCTTCCCTTCTTCCTCTGGGAGCTCTGTGCCTGCTTTCTCGTCTCCCTCCCCCGGTTTCACACATTAGCGCTGATACTTCTGGTCTCTGCAAGTGCTTGTAGTGACACCAGGCTTCCTGAGAGGTGTCTCCTGTCTTAGGTTGGGTGTGAGGCATTTTTGCTTCTGAACTCCCCCAAGCCAAAGGAAATCTCTGCTCCTGGACATGGCGTGAATGAGAACGTCAGGAATCTTTTTAAATCTAAGAAGAAAAATATGTTTCATTGGTGCCATCTTTCCAAACATAGGCGACCTCAAATATTTTGCTGAAGATATCATAGGGACTTTAAAAAGCGAACTTTCATGCTCAGATTGCACAGCCCTTCTTTGGTGTTGTGCATTTTGGGTTTTTGGATGAGGTTTATTTTGGCGACATTGGTCGTGGCAGGTAGGTAGCCATATTCGTGTTAGATTTTCTAGGATATGAGTTTTACAGCCTTGTAGGTAGTCCATTTACTATAAAAAAAGAAAGAAAAGAAATGAGTAATTTTCCACATGTTTTCTTAAGCATCCCTCATTAGAGTCTACTTCTCACTAACTCTTTCCTGTGGGTTCACTGCAATATTTGCGTCTTGCATTTATTTGTTTTATTGTTTGAATGGTTTGGGGAGCCTTCTGTGATGGGCGCAAGGCCCCTATGTCTGTCTTACCCACCCGTCAGCTGCAGCACTTCTTCATCACAGCCCCTTCCTGCCGCCCACGCCTCACTGTGGATACTCTGTTTCACAGGAACAGACAGTCTGCAGCAAGGAGTCAGCCCAACCCCGGCGTCGTTTCCTCATGGGAAGTTGTTACCAATTTCACCAACATGGCCTTTCACGGAAGTCAAGTCTTCTTTGGCAGCAGACAGAATCAAGAGTGCGCTGGGACAGTCTCTCGACAATACGAGCTTGTTGCACTTGGCCCGGACACCTCCGCCCAAGATGCACCGCAAGACCAGAGCTCAGGGGGACTTCTCTTCTTCCCTTTATCAAGGAAGCGGACATAGTGCCTCTCTGGAACCATTCAAGGACTCCACCGAGTCCCTGGTCCAACCAAGGCCTCAAGGGGACAGAGAAGCGGCGGATGTGTCAGGTTTGCTCCTCACCAGCATGCTTCCCCCATTGTCCTCAGTCCCGTTGGTGACCTTGAGTGCCATGTCCCCATCTCAGCCACCAGTAGGGACTTCCTCCCTTCTGAAGCGTCCCTTGTGGTCCAACAGTCTCCCGCTCCTCCTCCGTCCACCTTCATCCTCATCATGGGCTTCTCACTCACCTCATCCCATTGCCTTCTCTCGGCCAGCAGAGCAGCCCACCAAAGTGCCTTTGTTCCCCCATACAGCTCCAGCTGTCAGCTCTTCAGGTCAGAATGTAGCTAATGCCCTAAAGTCATTTTCTGGTGAAATGAACCACACTCCATCCAGAATTGCCCAGGATTTCATAAGTGTCCCTCATCTAGGTTTTTCAGGATCCTCAACAAGGCAGAGCTCCGAGCTGTCCCCAACACAGAGTCCCCACTCAGCAGGCTCACCCACACCTGTGGCTTTGAGCCCCATGGCGGAGCTGGCCCATCTGTCTCCCCCTCCCCTAGCACCTGGAGGTCTTCCGCTTCCAGGACAAACCCCCTCGTGGCCTACATGGGAAGGGGCTCTAAGTCCTGCATCCATCCAGCCTGTCCACAGGGCAGGGGCTAAACAAATCCACGGTGGGGTGCCTTCGCCGACTTTTAAGAGTGCGGCGGAGGCTGTGCCTTTGCTTTTCCAGACTGCACAGTCGGTGGCTGTAGAAAGGACCAGCAGAAAGCTAGCCCCTGCTCCTGCAAATGACTCCGCTAACCCACCGCATTTGTCAGCAGCTCCAGAGAATTCCAGAGGGCCTGTGGTTTCAGCAGAGCACACATCTTCCTCTTGGGTGTCTTCTCCTCTGCCTTTCACCGCACCGGGTCAAGGGCAAGCCATCCCTTCTGGGGCGGCTCCTGTATCACCACTGAACGGAACGGGCGACCTTCCCTCCTCTGTCGCCTCTCCATTCCCCGTGCCAGAAACGCCCCCTCCTCAGAGAGAAAGGAAAGACGTACCCCCTTTTCCTGCAACCACACACCTCCTCCCCTTGAGCAAATTTCGTCTTCCCACAAAGATCTTTCCCCTGCAGAAGGAGGATAGCGGAACAGCTATTTTAAGAAAAAATGAAAAGGCAAATGTGACAGTTCATCTCCAGGCCTTTGCAAGTAAACAAGTTCCGGGTCTTCACACTGTAAGCAGATTCACTTCTGATGTTAGCACTGGTCCTGTTTCTTCTCCCATCATGACAACACCAGGAACAAACTTCCTTTTATCAGGATCACTTCCGCCTTCCGTGCCTGCCATTCAAAACACCCTGCTGGTTTCCCCATCTCCTGGCTTTTCCAGCACCAAACCAGAATCTTTCACAGCTGCTGTGGGCCACTCGGAGTTGCCAGCTTCAGCTTCCAAACAGGTGACAGCATTTCCCTCCTCCTCTGATGTCTCTGATTTTTCAACAATGGGAGACACGAACAAGCCAACAATCACAGATGTTTTGTGGAGTTCTCGTTCAGGAAAAACTGGATCCCTTTCCACACAATCAACAATATCTGGCTTCCAGCAGCAAACAGATTATGATTTAAATGGTCGCACAATTAACTCCATAAGTTGGGAAACTCACTCAGCTTCAACTCTTCTTCCCAGTGGTTTAACTTCAGCTACCAGTGCAATAAAATCCCAGGATTTAAAAGATACTGCTGGGCAATCAGTGGCTGCAGAAGGCTTTAACATTCAGGATCTCATCCTAGGCCCAGGCACCCACCATCCTGTACAACAATCAGGTGTGACCATGGTTGGGAACCCTGAAAACCTCTGGCCCACAAGCCGTAACAGCTATTCCAGAGTTTTCCGAGCAGAGAAGGTTGAACATTACCCATCCACAAATCAGCCTTCTACATCACATCCCCATTTACAGCTGCTCGCCCAGCCAACCCATCCTCTTTGGCTAACCTGGCTCAGGCTATCTTCTACATTTAGCTTGCAAGAAATGCTTTCAGATGGAACAGATACAGGTCCCCAAGTTTCTAGGGACATCTATCTTTCACATGGGATAAATGCTTTCACACCATTCAAGAGCATCTTGGGATATCACTCAGTTGCTGAATCTCCTCCTATATCGACCAGTGCCTTTCCCAGGACCCCTTCCAGAATGCTGCGAGCTTCTCAGCACCCCAAGAAGTGGACAGGTGCAGCCACTAATGCAGATAGTTTGTTTCCTGGTACCCCCCAAACAGGTACGACTGCTTTCATGGCCAAAGTATCCTCAAGCTCAACACAGATATCCAGCTTTTAGGAGTAAGTTAGCAACCCCAAATAGACACAACATACATCCTCTGCCCGCTTCATTTTTTGAAAGTATTTAGGATTTGTGTCCTTATTACCAACCACAGCTTTGCTAAAAGTGGCATTCTCATTACAGTTCATTGATTTAATGCTCCTAAAGTTGTATTGCCCAAGTTCACCCACTGCAAGCCCAGAGTGCGGAGGCTTTTCAGGCTGACACACCCATGTTACATCCATTCATCACCAGGACAAAAGATGTGTGCCTTCTGGGCCAGTGATAAGCTTTGCCTTTTCTCTCTTTACAGTGGACTCCTCAGTGTCACCCAAGATAGAACCAACTGCAGCAGCTGCTGCTACTTTGCTTCTGAGGAAATCGAGTCCACCAGCACTGTCGGCAGCCCTGGTTGCCAAGGGCACCAGCAGCAGTGGCTTAGCCAAGAGCAGTGTGACCACTGCTCTAGCTAGAAATGTCACCAACGAGGCACCGGCTGCTCCAAAGTTGACCGCGGGGGCAATCCACACTGCCTTCCCATTTACGCCAACCTACATGTTTGCTAGAACAGCGCACACCGTGAGCACACACGTGGCCGTGCAAAGGAACACAGGCACTGCCTCTGGCCTGTTGTCCACGACGCACCTCCCCAGGAAACCACAAGCCATGCACACTGGCCTCCCAAACCCCACCAAGCCAGAGATGCCCAGAGCATCCACTCCTCGCCCACTGACGATCACGGCAGCACTGACGTCCATTACAGCGTCCGTGAGGGCCACACGCTTGCCACCTCTGCAGGCAGAAAACACCGATGCTGTTCTTCTTGCTGCATCAACTGCAGTAGTCACGACTGGCAAAATGGCATCCAACCTGGAGTGTCAAATGTCCAGTAAGCTCCTGGTGAAGACAGGTGAGAGGCTACTGTCTTGATTTGACTTGAAAGCAGCAAACCTGGTCTCAAAGATATAGCCAAATTATTTCTCTTTTAGGTCAGTGATTTTCAGTCAGGGATGATCTTGCTCCCCACCCTTGGGAGACGTTTGGCCATGTTGGGAGATACTTGGGGTTATCACACCTGGGGAAGAGGTTGCTGCTGGAATTTAGTGGGCTATTGCTAAACTTTCGCAAATGCACCAGACAGCCCTCAAAAACAAAGAATAATCCAGTCTGCCAGGGTTGAGAAACCTTGGTCTTTATCAAGTGTCAGAGGAGAGGAGGAGCACTAGGTGACATGGATTCTAGGCGTAGGTTCAGTCCTGACCTCAGTGGACCCTGGGAAAGCACAGTTCTTCTACTGGGTCTGAGAATGCCAGTGATGTCTCAGATGAATAAATAATGTGATTCACTTAATGCAAAGCCATGGAATGTGCTACATAATTCAGACAGGCTTTTTGTCATGTGTCTTCTTAATCAGCAGACACTAAAAGGACAGCTACGGTGCACAAATGGGAGCCCCAGATTTCCTTTGATGTTAGAAAGACTTTCTTAAAAGAAAATATGGGTAGGCAGCGTTAGAACTGTGAGCGAAGTTTTACCCCCAATCTCTAGTGGCAGCAAACCAGGCCTACAATGCACAGGGTGCTTTCAATAGCATGGTAGTGTTTGCTGTAAAAAGCATTAGGCAAATTTATTTGAAAGAGCATGCCAGTGTCGAATGCTCGCATCTCACCTTCCTCCTCACTCCACAAAGAATGAGATGAAACTATAACTTGAGACATATCCTAGTCTAAAATGGGAAATTGTGAAACTAGGCAGAGCGGAAAATACAGTATCTCTTTCTATTTCTCAAGAAATTATACCATCTGGGTTTTCACTCCTCCTCTCTCCTTCTAGATCCATACTTTCTCCTTGAGGGGCAGACAGCCCAGCCCCCCAGCCCACACCATGGAGAAACATCCTTCCTGCCCCCTTTCCTTCACCTTCTCCCCTAGCTACATCCAACCTACTCAACAGTTCCTTCAGCTTCTCCCTCCCAGGCATTCCTCTCCGACCTGGTGCACACTGCCCCTTCTTCCCAAGGATACACTGCCACCATCACTCATCTACATCTCTGCAGCAGCAGCTACATTTATCTCTGCCATCAGATCTCCCAGCTGTCCGGGTCTGTTCTCCAGGCCGCAGTCAAGGGAACCTAACATGCATTGCTTTGCTTAAAACCCTTCATTGTCCACTGCCCTCAGAACCAAGCCTGACCACGTCCACTGACATACCCCTCTTCTCTCCCCTGCACCTTTACACCTGGCAGTTCCTCTACTGGGAGTTGGAGAGTCGACCTATGCCCTTCCCTTGCCTAGTTCACACCTATTATCCTCCGAACGCTGCTGCAGCATCAATTCCCATGGAGAATTAATTCCCTGATCCCAGCCTCTTGCCCAACTCAGGGCTGGATGCTCCTCTTAGAAGCTCTGACAGCTGCCTGGGCTTCCGTCTCGTAACAGCACTGGTCATATTTGCTCACTGATGCCCGTTCTGCATCCCTCATCTCCATCCTCACCTGTGAGGTGGGACTTCCCCTCCCAGATTGAGGGTTGATTTGGGCTGCAGCACCGCGCTCAGGACCTGCACCTAAGTAGACTGTCAGTGGATGGTATCCTGGTCATTTTCTCTTCGCTGGAACAAAACAAATCCAACAGCTGCAACTTAAGGGAGGAGAGGTTTGTTCTGGCTCATGGTTTCAGTTTCCAGGGCAGAGGGGTAGGGTGGAGGAAAAGGTGCTCAACCCATAGCCAGGAAGCAGAGCGTGAAGAGAGGAGCTGGGAACAAGAATACATCCTCCCAGGTCATCAGTGACCCACTTTCAGCCAGGCCCCACCTCCTCACAGCACCTTCGGCTCCCAAACTCATCTGTGGATGACTCCAGTGATAAGTACGGCCCCCCACGACTCAGTCACCTCCTACACCCACGAGAATCGGGGGGAGGGGTGCATTGTAGCTCTAGACCGTAACAGATGGTGTCACAGCAGCTTCACTGCATGCAGACCTACCTAGGACAGGCACTGCAGAGCCTGGCTCTCAAAGTCAGAGGTAGCGTGGGTCACGAATGAAGCGCCCCCAGCATATCGGGTGTTGGTCCATGAAGGTCACACACATGGCTCGGCCTTCTTTTCTTAGGACTTTAGCAGGACCAACAGAGCCACTGTCCATGGCCATCCCCTCGCTGTGGGCCTTTGCTTGTCAGATTTGTGCAGAATTTGCAGGAGATGGTGGCTGGGAGGAGAGAGGGCTGTGCGTAATGAAGCTTGCGCCTCACTCTGATCGCTGTGCTTCTGTTTCATCCCACAGTCCTCTTTCTAACCCAGAGGAGAACGCAGAGCAGTGAATCCTTGAAGCTCAGTGTAGCCAGAGGGCTCACGCAGGCCCTTCGGAAGGCTTTCCACCAGGCTGATGTCACAGCTCACGTAAGGTCCTTGCTTGATTGCAATCCATCCGGGTCCAGAGTATGTGTAGATGGTTTTCCTCCTTCCCAGGTACCACAGCAGAAGTCAGATCTTTCCTCGTTTGGGTAAATAGCCAAGATGCTGTGGCTGGTGAAAAAGGTCCTATTGTGAGATGGAAATTGAGATTTTAAGTCTGGATATACTGTTTTAAATCGTCCCATTATCCCATCATTTGGGGAGAATATTTAATATTGTCCATGTAATTCTCTAGAAACCATCCATTGCTTTTTCTTTTGTTTTCCACACCGTTGTAAATCAGGATTTATTTCCGGACATTTAAAAATTATTCTGACTTGTAAATCGAGTCCAATTTTGCTTAAATTGCCAGCAGTGGACAGGAAGTAAACAGTTTTTATTCCAAATAGTTTAATGCCAAGTGATGTTTAACAATTGCTGGCTTGTTTTGATGGCATATCTGAGTGACAGAGGCTTTGCTTTATACTCTTTTGGTTTGATTCCAAGTGTTAAAGCAGGAACACAACTGGCAGTCAGTGGATTCCCTTTTGCACCACTTAAAAATATTGTTCTGGCTTTCTTTGATGCTCTGTTCGACAGCTGTGTTCAGCTTGGTAGTCTCCTCCCTACCCATCACACCAAGGACTAGAAATGAGATTTGGCACATTTGTACTTTCTTGGTCACTGTCAATCTCTCACAGTTCTAAAAAAAAGGACAGGAAGAAAAAGAATAAAAAGAAATGTATTCCATAAGAGAGAAACTACTTAGAAGCTGAAAATGTGAATGTTCTCATTTAGTTTAGTGAAACTGCCTGATGTATTTTTCACTCAACTTCATTCCCCAACTACCTTACGCTTTGGTCTTTTCTGCACATCAACACGGACCACTGTAACAATGAGCACTTTTCTTTTTCCTAGATTGGCTTGCTTTTTAAGTTTTAAACACATTTCTTTTGAAGGGCTAGTGGATATGATGACTGTAAATGGAAACCACGATTCTGTGCCATTAATAAAAGGTAGTGGTAAAAATGAGAATAAAGGACACCAAGTAGTTTGTTAAATCCAAGCTAGATGTTGTTGCTTGGCGTCTTTCTCTTCGTTAAAGAGAGGAGGAAGAGGAAGGGAAGCAGCAGTGGACACAGCTAGGGTTAAACAGGTGGTAAGAGCGTAGAGTACCAGAGCCAAGTGAGGCCTGCTCTGTGAGGCAGTTACGAGGCCTGGAAAGGAAGCACACTGGGTGAGTTGGTATTGTTCTGGGTTGTGCCCATGGTCCACCTTGAAGTCTCTCTGGTTCCTCATTAATCATCTTTTCCACCACCTTTAGGAGAAGAACCAGTGGAGGATGCACTGTGGAGAGAGCACCACAAAATTAGTTGTCTTGGTTTACTTGGAAAATCCATGTGACTTTGTTTTTTGGTGCTGGGGATGGTACCCACTTCCTTGAACATGCTGGGCAAGTGTTCTACACCTGAGCTATACTCCTCGCCCCGTGACACACTCCTAGCAGAGACACAGAATATGGGCAAGTGGAGGTATCCAAAATACCTCGATGGAAAGGTCCAGCTTTACAAGGTGAAGAATTCCACTGATGAAGGGCGGTACTGGTTGTTCCCATTACGTATCTCTTTTAGGTGTGCTGTTAAGATGGTAAATTGTATGTGGATGTGCATTTTCTACAATTTAAAAAAATGGGGGCTGAGGATGTATCTTAGTTGTAGAGTGCTTGCCCAGCATGTCCAAGACCCTGGCTTCCATCCCTAGCATGGCAAAAAAAGAGGTTATATTAGAAGGAGCAGGGAGGGAGGGGAAGGAGATGGGATGACAGAAAGGGAGAAGAAAAGAATTAAGATGTGTTATGTACATGTACCAATTCTGTATGATAATCGTAATCACTGTGTACTGCAAACCTGTACAAGTACAGGAATAAAAATAAGTATTCAAAGGAATAATAATAAGTATTCAGAAAAGAAGTTAAAACCAGTGTGTACCATACATGAGTATATGTATGTGCACGTGGTATATAGATACATAAGTGTATTTGTGTATATCTGAAAATGTGCATATATATGTGTATATATATATATATATATGTGAAATACATATTCTTAAGGAAACATAACAGAAAGGTGATACACTTACAAGTTGCTTTATAATTGTATTATGATGGTATTAGTAATATTAGAGGTCATTAGTGTCTTTTCCCTGTTTTTTCCACAAATGCTAGCTTGATAATAAACATTATATTTGATATATAAAAAGAAAACAACAAACACTGAGAACCATTGACCTACAGGACCAAGAAAGCCACATAAAATAAATCTGAAGGCTCAGAATCTTCCCAATGGGGCAGAGAGAGCCCTGGCCATTGGTGCCCCTCAGGACTCAGCTGTGAGCAGAGCTGTCTGGGGTGGTCCCCACCCTGGTTCTGAAACAAAGGGTGGAGCCAAGGCTGAACCAGTCCCCTGTCTGCTGCCAGATGGGTAAAGTCACTTGATTTACTTCTTGATCCATTCCCTGAAGGTGTCCCACTTAATTTTAGTTCTCATCAATGATGAGAAATATAGTAAAGCTATTTTCCCTGCATTCTATTCACCTGAAACGTCTCCTCTACGCTGTCTTCTCTCTGCCTTTTTTCTGATAATTACTGTTTGTAGGATCATGCTGTGGCTTTTAAAGGATGCAAAAAAAAATGCAAATTTGATTTCATTCCAGGTAAATTTGATGTAAATTTCATTTTGTTGTATGAGGATTCTTTGAAATCTCCCAATCTACATAATGCTTTAAAGCATTATTAGAGTATTTGTTAAAGGGAACATCCTATTCCCTATCAGTGGTGGTTCTAAGAAACACTCAGAAGAACTTAAAGTATTGTGGAGCTAAACAGTGAGTTCTGGGGTCCATTTGTTTTGTAGGTGGACATTCTGGAACATTCTCATAACCTTTCAGTTGGTTATTATGCTACCAGAGGGAGGCTGGTGTACTTGCCTGCCGTCGTGATGGAAGTGCTGGGGGTTTACGGAGTCAGCAATGTCACTGCAGATCTGAAGCAGCACACCCCAAACCTACAGTCTGTGGCCGTCCTTGCCTCTCCGTGGAGGCCCCACCCTGCAGGATACTTCCAGCTAAAAACAGGCAAGTAACTCAGAAGGAAAGGGTTCCTGTGCATTGTGGGGTCGGGGCAATTCCACAGGGACACCTGCTTATAAAATCCGTTGCTAGCTCCTCTGTCACTTTTATGTCCCCATGTACCTTCTTCAAAGGGCCCCGCTAATCAAAGGTCCAAGTCCCCTGCCCTTCAGCCTAAACTTTTCTAACCTTGAATTTATTAAAAATGTTCCAACACAGAGCTTTACTTCCAGGTTATATAATTAGAACATACAAACACTTAGTATTGTATTTTCTCCTGCATTTCCAGAAGATGCTAATAAGAGTTGAGCATTCATAAAATCTATGGTTTGGAGCAGAAGGTCTAGACATCACTGAATTCAAACCTCTGTGTGTAAGCCCTGGACTCTTTCTTTCAGTCTCCCTAGTGATTTCTAATTTGCAATGTGTAAAGCACAGAGTAGAGAAATCATTGAGATGAAAACATGCAATCAACTTAGTAATGGAAGTCAATTGATTTTCCCCCCTCCAAAAAAATAAAAGGCATAATCTCTCTTAAGTTATTTATTATTTGTCAGTCTCTGAGCAGATGTCTACATATTTTGCTTGAATAAAAATCACAACATCCTCTACATTGGAGAGAATCTCATTTGGGTCATGGTTTTGCTTTTTCCCTGGTATCAATCCTTGTAACAGTCACTTTCAAACCTATAATCAAACCTTGTCTGGCCTTATTGTTTATTTGCCTAATTTCTCTAACCTAAAGTCATGCTGCTTTATAGGAAAACTGCTATTAAATCTAAGGAACTGAGATGTAGGGCTTTAGCAAATGCTTTGTATGATTCTCATTCTAGTGCTACAGTTTGTGAGCCAATCAGACAACATACAGTCCTGTAAGTTTGCCCAGACAATGGAGCAGAGGCTGCAGAAGGCATTTCAGGATGCAGAGAGAAAAGTTCTCAACACCAGAAGCAACCTGAAGGTTCAGGTAGGGAGGAGGGGGGCTTCGGGATGAGCAGTTAACCAGCAACCAAAGGGCCCGTGTTGGTGAGAAATGACTGCCTCCAACCCCTGTTGCAAGGCTGCCTTGTGTAACTGTAACTTTGTGCTTTGGGCAGGTGATATAGCACTTAAAGTCATGGCACTGGCGAGGATGTCTGGGACTGGGCTGTGATAGGAGAGACACTGTGTCACTGCATACCTGCTATGGCTTGGGGGTTTATATTTACTTTCTCATATGATGCTTCCTCAGACTTTTATAAAACATTATTTTTAAAAATTGAACTAGAATACATCAAATGTATCATATACAATGAATAAATAAATCAGTTTTAAATAGCTAACTCATCAAGATTTGCACTGGGCCAATTTCAGTTAACTACATGAACAATCATCTCTCACACACACACATACCCACACTTTATATCAAGGGCTTACTATATGCCAGGAATTGTGCTAAGTGTTTTGCAGATATTTCGCTGCGTAATACTCAAGACATGCTTCTGAGATATTTTTCCATTTCATTTTTTTCAAGATAGAACTGACAGAGAGGTTATACAACTTCCAGAAGGTCGCATGGAAAAGAATGCGATAAAGACTTGAGCCCGGAGTCCATCCTCTTCTGCACTAAACTCCCCATCAATGTAACACAGAAAGGGGGTCCTCTGGGAACTTTTGGCAAACACATGAGTTCCTTCCATGAGAAATCCCACCCCTGGTGCCCCATGTAGTTCAGCTACCTGGACAAGAGTTGCACACACCACCAACAGCCTCTCTCAGACCCATTTTTTGCAGTTCTGTAGATATCATTCCACTGAGGACAGATGCTTCTTAATCATATTCACCCAGCCCCCAAATTTCCCTAATTAACTCTACTGTTCAGTGTCTCTGTTTTTACCACAGAACTAAAGCCTTTGCAATTAGACCCAGTGCTTCTGAAATTGACATTTAGTGTAAGTGAATTATCAGCAAAGCCAGTGCGATGTAGAAAGCATATGATTTAATTTGAATGAGCAGCTTTCCTTGCCTAGACTCACCCAAAGTGTATAGGGAAGTATCTCATTATGATTTGGTTCATATTAGACTAAGATCTAAAAATGTGTTAGACTTAAAATTTATGTAAGGAGTGTGACTCGGCTCTCTTGTGGGAAATCTTGTGTGTGTGTGTGTGTGTGTGTGTGTGTGTGTGTGTGTGTGGTAGAATTTGTGATCCTCACAAGTACATGAGCCTAGTTTGATCTTGGCAACAGAGCCTATTTTAATTGTATTCAGGAAGCGCAGACTTATTGAGCGCCTGCTATTTACCAGGCAGTAAGAGAGACACCAAGAGAAATAAGCTGCCCTTGGGCTTAAGCAACTTCTTTTGGGGTACTCGTTATGGACCAGTAGAGGCAATTTTGTTTAATCAAGTAGCAAACCTTTCTTGGAAAAGTCTACAACAGGTGATTTGAATATCATGTCTAAATAGATTTCAGATGCTCTTGAACATATTGAAAGCTCTTGAAACAAATAGCTAATTGGATGAATTATTTTATTAACCCTATTTCATTTTTAGCCTTCACTGACAAGAAGCCCAGAATTGGTTACCTGGATTTAGCAGCCCTCTTGGGTCCTATGGCGTACATACATAACTCCATGCTAACCATTCTACTGCTATTCTTTTTTTTTTTCTGTCTGGTTTTATAATGAATAACTTTTCATTTTTATTTTGTAGATAATATGGAAATATAAATATATTAGTATAATTTTTATTAAATATCGGTAAAGTACTTTGATTCCCTTGTGGAATAAGATCATGTCATTCATTCATTCAAAGAATTATTGAGAAAGTGACTTAAAGAACAAACTCATATAGCTTTGATGTTAGAGGCTGGGTTACAATTGTCTTAGAATTACATTGGTTGCGAGAGGCCAAGCTTACAAAGCTTAAGCAAAAAGAGGATGTGATTGACTGAAAAATTCACAGCTTACTTGCTTTAGGTACAGCTGGATCCAGGTGCTTCAGTGATTTTTCCATGCAGTTTTCTCTTCATCTCTCTACTTGCTTGGCTCTGGGCTGGCATCATCCTTAGTTCCATTAGGTGGTTCTGGCACTTTCAGATTTGTCTCATCCTTTCTGCTTATAGTTTTCTGGACCCAAAGCGCCTTTCTTGTGTCATATCTGTCAGAATTTGGGGACTGGCTTTTGTTGGACATACAATGCTCATTTCTGGATCAGTAATGGTGGCCAAAGAGATGACCTGTCCCACTCAACTAGGCCTGGCTCAGATGACTCCTCCTGCAACTGGGGTGGGGCAGTCCCATCCAAAGTGTACGGAGAGAAAGGAGGGGAGAGGTGACTCCCCAAAGAAAACTGGTGCTGTCATAGAAGAAAGGAGAATGGATGTTGGGCAAGTAAACCACAGGGCTCCATCTCCCTGTGGGCTAGTTGGCTAAATGAATATGGCTTGAAGAACTCAGAAGCTGCAGGAAGCTGGCAGTAAAGGGATGATGGGAAAGGGTCCTCCTGAAGGGGGATAGGGCATGACTTTCAGGGACCAGTACTGTGAACTTGACTTTGTATTTTTAGAGCTGGCATAGCCACCACAAATGATCAGTTTTCTTACAGAAAACATAAGTATATTAAAGGAGATAAAAGTAAACGGAGAGGCAGCCTGTGTTCCAGGACTGGAAGACTTAAGATGGTTGAAATGTCAGTACTACTCAATGCAGTCTGCAAACTTAATGTTATCCCTATCAAATTCCCAGGGATTCTTTTTTGCAGAAATAGCAAAATTCATCCTAAAATTAAAGTTGAATCACAAGAGACCTTCAATCAAAGCAATCTTGGGGGAAAAAAGAACAAAATGGGGAGGTTTCACACTTTGTGATTTCAAAGGTGAATACAAGGCTGTGGCCATCAAAACAACGTGGTGCCCACACGTAGCTGGACATACAGGCCAGTAGAACAAAATACAGAGCCCAGAAATAAACCCTCTTTTATGAGGTCACGTGGTAAGAGTGCTGACCCTATCCAACAGGAGAAGAAACGGCTTTTCAATGAATTGTCAGCACTGGATGGCTGACAAAAGAAGGAAGCTGGACCCTCACTTAACATCATGTACCAAAATTAACTCAAAATGCATCAAGGACTAAAGTTATAGGACTCTTAGAACATTAAGACAAAATTAATTTGTTAGATATGCCTATTTGTTGGATATGACATCAAGAATAGCACAAGCAATAAGAGGAAAATAAATAAGTTGGACTTCTTTAAATTTAAAACTTTGTCCAACAAAATATACTATTGGCAGACTGAAAATACAGCCTTCTAAATGGATAAAAGTATTTATAAACCACAAATCTGAGAAGTGGCTGATATCTAAAACATATAAAGAACTCTTATAGCTTAAGATATAAAATTTAACGATAATTAGAAGTGGACAAAGGACTTGAATAGCCATGTCTCCTAAAAAAAATGTGTATAGCCAACAAGGACATGAAAAATTGCTCTATACTAGTAGTCATTAAAGAAATATAAATGAAAAAAATATGATATCACTTCAACTTATTATGATTGTCATTCTCAAAAACAAAACCAAACCCCCAAAATAACAAAATGTTGATTAGAATGTGAATTAGAATGCTCGTGTCCTTCCAGGGGGACTGTCTGATGGTGCAGCCACTGGGGAAAACAATACGGTGTTTGCTCAGAAAATTAGACACAGGATTACCTTATGATCTGGTGATTCTGTTTCTGAATATGCATCAAGAAGAGTTGAAACCCAGAACTCAAATGGGTATTTATACACCCATACTTATAGTGGCGTTATTCACAGTAGGCAAAAGGTAAAAGCCGCCCAAGTGTCCATCACTGTGCGAGTGGATAAACAAATGTGATGTATACGTGCAGTGGAAGATTGTCCAACCTTTAAAAAGAAAAGCAATTCTGACACATGCTACAACACGAATGAACCTTGAGGACATTGTGCTGAGTGAAAAAAACCAGTCACCAAAAGACGGATACTGCCTGCTTGCTCTTATAACGTGCGAGTTGTGCACTTAGTAAGTGATCTCAGCCGGGCTTGCCGGTACACAACTGTACTGCCAGTGCTCTGGGAGCCTGAGGCAAGCGATAACCAGTTTGAGCCCAGTCTGGGCATCTTGATGACTTAGTAAGACCCAATTTCAAAATAATAATAAATAATAATAATAATAATAATAATAATAATAATAATAATAATAGTAATAATAAAGGGTTAGGAATGTTGCTCAGTTGCAGAGGCCCTGGGTTCAATCATCAGAACTGAAAAAAAAAGTGATTTTATTCCTAAGATTCATCTAGAAAGTAGTGTGGTGGTTGCCAGGGCTTGGGGGAGGGTGACATTAGGAGTTGTCTATGGGTGCAGTCAGGGTTCGGGGACAATAAAAAAGTCCTGGTGATCGATGTCGGTGATGGTTGTACAACAGTGCTAATGTGCTTAATGCCACGGAACTGCATACTTCAACAATAGTTCAAATAGTAAAGTTTGTTTCACCTATTTTAACACAATAAAAAGTTATCCTTTATGTGGCCAAATGTGGTGTCCACAGAGGTATTCATATTGCAGGCTTTCCAGGCTTTTTGGAGATCCAGAGAAATTTAGTTTTGTTGACAGTGAAAAACAGAACATTTCACAGTAGAGATAAAGTTTGAAAAGTTATTATTACTTTTGCATTCTTGGGTACGGAACCTCGGATCTTTCACATACTAGGCAAATACTCTTCCACAGAAATGAAAAGTTATCTTTTAAGCTATTATTTAGTTATTTTTTAGGTGGCAGGATGGTAAGGTCTTTTAAATTACTCAGAAATGAGTGCCAGCAAGCCTGGGTGGCAGTCAGCTCCCACCGGAAAGACAGAATGAGCTCAAAGGCAGGTAATTTGAGGGGAGTTTTGGTGAAAGGAACCCTTTTGTGAAACTATGCATGGGGACAGTGCAGTATTCAGGGCAGCAACCCCTGGGCCCTGTAACCCTGCAGGGCAGACCTGGCACCAATCCCCCTGACCTCCCTCCCACCCTAGCTCTGTGTCTGCAGAACCATTCTTAGCTGAAGCCGGCAGGAAAGGAGCCATGGGGTAGGTGACCCCCAGGGGTCTGCCTTGTGGGACATAGAGCAGGGTGGGTTACAGTGGATTGGGGTGCAGGAGGGAAAATGCCGTGCACAGAACCCTGCAAAAATATCTCACTAAGGCAATGACTTCTTCTTGCATGTGTTCTTAAAACCTCGTCTGGGGGATATTTTTGTCCATTCATTGACCCAGAAAACCTCATTTTCCTGCAAGTAAAGAATGGAATTAGACAAAATGTGAGAAGAAAATGATGTCACCTCTATGTCACCTCTATGATTTTAAAAAACATGTTCTATATTGAATTAATAGACCACAAGGAAATGTAATTTTTTCCAGAAAACATATTTTGTATTTCTGAATTTCTTTATCATCAAATTCAAGTTCTTTTCCCTACCCCCTGATAAGGCAGGTGATCAAGTCTGTACACTGTACCTTGCTGCTTCTTTCAACCTTGAAATTCCTTTAGAGTTTGACTCAGTGTTCTGAGTAGCTGAGTCCTCTTTAATCCTAACATTCCTATGCTCTGTTTTATATTTTCAAAATAATAAAAGTTCTTTGACACAGCTTAAGCCCTCAGAAAGATAATGCCGGTAGTTAAGAGCCTGAAGCCAGATGACCCTGGTTCAAATCCTGACAGTCATGGGAGCTGTCTGACCTTGGACAAATCCCTTCATCACTCTGGGCCTCAGTTTCCTCATCTGTAGAAGGAAGTTGTGTGGGGTTGAGGATTAAGTGAGAGGCTCAGCCTTCAGCACAAAGCTCAGCATGCAGCGTGCAACCCGTAAATGATGATTGCTGTTACCCTTGTCTCTTCCTTGCCATTTTCCCAACCACCCTTTCATTTCTGCCCTCACCTTCTGCTTGAACTGCACCTCTCACAGCCTCTGTGAAACAGACCTTCTTCATATATGGCATGTCTCCCTCCCTTCTTCCTGTGTCCATTCAGATTGTGAGCACGTCCAATGCCTCCCAGACTGTCACCTTGGTGTACGTCGTGGGCAATCAGAGCTCGTTCCTCAATGGCACCGTGGCCAGCAGCCTCCTCGGCCAGCTCTCTGCCGAGCTGGTAGGGTTCTACCTCACCTACCCTCCGCTCACTATTGCCGAACGTGAGTACATCCACGCGATGAAGCAGAACTCTGTTCCTACGCCACATGCTACCCCTGTCATAATAAAATAGCAGCTGAAAAATGTGCTTGCTGGAGGTTGAATCCATGAAAAGTACATTGCACGTTGTAAGAAAGCACTTGTGAGATAACTTTTCCCTTCTCCTGTGTCTTACCTCAACGGGTGCTCACAACCATCCTAGAAGATGAAAACTTAGGGTTCACAAGATATCCACTCTCCCATAGCCAGTGGGACAGGGGACCTGGGGTGTGAACCCCAGCAGTCTGCCTTTGGAGCCTACAGTGCTGCCTGTGCGGGGATCTCTCCCTGGGGACAATTCAGGTCGCCGTGGTTCTCTGCCACTCTTGCCATCAGCTGATGTTCCCAGACCTTCCGGCCCTGTCCTGACTGTAGATACCACAAAGCAACCTACTTGCAGTCAGCGACGTGATTTCACTTGATGAAGCCCGCTTAGTCTGAGGCCTCCTCATCTCCCTCTAATGCTTCCGTTATGTAATCCTCATTACCATGCAGTAGGTATAGACTTCCAAGACAATGCAGCCTACTTTTTGTCCCCAAATACTTACTTAGTAGCCAAAGGAAACAAAGGCTTATATTCCTAAATTTAATCAATCTTACATTTTACAGAGTCACTGGACAAGATTTTTTAAAAGCATTAACAAAATTGCTTCATAATTTCCTGCTACAGTTGTCTTTGATACCATAAATAGATGAGACAATATGTATAAATGGGATACTTAGCACATACTAGCCACTGAGAATTTTTAAAATATTTATAAGCAATAATAGATTTCCATGCAGTAAGGAAAGATAACCAGAAAAGATGATGCCATAAAATAATGACATTATGTCCCATGGCAGCATGTGAAGAATTTATTCTTTTGACAGTAGTCTGATAATAACCACAGATAAGATTTATTGAGTGCTGACTATATGCCAGACACTGTCCCAAGTCCTTTGCATGTATTGTCTCTCATAGTCACCACCCTTGTAAAGTGATATGAGACATATTGGTATGAGTATTTGGCTGCTAAATTCAAGCCCTTGGCGTTGGAAAAATCCATTGCCATTGAGATAATTGTTCCTAATGACTTTAGTGATGGTTGGACAATTTTTAAAGACAAACCTCCAGCTAAGACAGGTGGCAGGTATGGGTTTTGATAATGAGGTTCTTTCTATTTAAGAGGGTTTGGATGGAAAACCTGAAAGAGCAGAAACCCACAAACCCTTAAAGTCCTTCATCAGAAGGTTGACCTTTTATTGAGGGTTTTGGTTTTCTGCCCAACGAGATGATTTGACCTTATGTCATAGAGTTCCCAAGAATGACAAAGCAGGATTCAGCTGCTCACTGGCTTGTCAATTCTATGTTCCAGTCAATATTAATATTTACATATAAAACCTATAAAAGTAATTTGATGTATTTCTTGTTCTTTTTAGCATTGGAATACCCCAATCTTGATATATCAGAAACAACCAGAGACTATTGGGTAATTACAGGTAATCTTTTGTTTTCTTCTCCCTTACAAGTAGGTTGCTTTGTTTCAAAATTGCCTTTCAGTGACACAAGGGCATTGTCTTTGGTCTGTCTTGTAAGTAAGTAGTTCCTTCTACAGGACCAGAAGTGAGTGGATTCAGCTAAGAAAATAAATCACACTGAAGATGATTATTAAATAAACAATTCAAAAGTGTCACTTTTCTTTTCTTATGGTACTGAGGAATGAACCCAGGGCCTTTGCAACAAGCTACACCCCAAGCCCTTTAAAATTTTTTAAAATTTTGAGACAGGGTCTTGCTAAGTTGGCTAGACTCAAACTTGCAGTCTTGTGCCTCAGCCTCCCAGAGTGTTGCGATTGCAGGCATGTGCCACCGTGTCTGGCTACAACAGCTGCCTTTAAAGTCCCCACCCGGTAGCCTCCTCTTGGAAAACGTGGACCTATAATTAGGAAGGACAGCACAGACCTGTGAAGGTTATGTTTCCAGACAGCAGACCTTTCTGTACTGCGCTGCCAAAACCCAGTGCCACCCAGGGCAACACTGGCTGCACAGGTCTCTATCTCCCCAGCTCGAGTCTCACCCCATGCTAATCCCAGCCAATCCCGATGGGGAGGGTGGTGGAATAATAAGGGGATTTGGGTGGTGTTTCCTTTGTTTTTTCCTTGACATTTTGCAGCTGAACATCATGAAACAGCAAAAATGTTCTGTTTATGTTTTTCTAAAGCCAAACAGTGGCTCTGAAAGTGAGAAAAACAGGGATTAAATGTGAAAGGAGTGGACAGATGTTTGTAGGAGGAAAAGTGACCAGGAAGCGGATTGGCTAGGGGAGTAAATGAGTCTACAGCCCATGCTGGAGGCTTAAACCACAGAAAGTCACTTCCTTACAGTTCTGGCGGCCGGGATCTGAGAGCAAAATGTCTACAGATTGTTTTCTCCAGGGCTCCTCTTCTGGGTTGGAAAGGGTCGTCTCTGGCATCCTCCCATGGTTTTTCCTCTGAGCCTGTCGGGTCCTCATTTCCTATACTCATGAGGACAGCAGACAAGTTGGGTTAGAGCCCACCCTCATGACCTCATTCTAACTTCACCTCCTCAAAGACCCTGTCTTCAAATACAGTCACATTCCGAGGAACGGAATTTGGGGGACACAGCTCAGCCTGTCATGAGGAGGGAGGGAGGACCTTCCAGGCACGGAAGATGTGCCACTCGTCCCTCTCTTGCTGTCCCAGACAAGTGGCAGATGTGCAGCTGCCTAAAATGCCAAATAAAGGGCACAGGACCCCACTGGATGAGACTGCTGGAGAATCTCTTCTAAAGTGTGGAAAATTTTCCCTCCCCTGCAGAGCCCTCCAATATGCAGAGATTATTTTACCTGCTAGAAGACAAGCGAAAGAGACACATTTTAAAACAAAAATTTAAAACGAGCCTACCCAGGTTTATGCCCAAGAGAGACAGCGCTAACCTAGCCGCACAGTTTTGGAGCTAGCAGGTTGTGTAACATTCAGAGTCGTGTTTCTTCCTCAAGGAATGGCGCTCCTGCACTGGCAGATCCTTCTCCCTCCTTTCAACTTTGAGGTTTACATTCACGCATTACACTTTTTGCTCTTAAACACAGGCTGTCCTTGATGGCTGCTGTGTTGTCCCTCCTGATTTCCTGGTGTCCTGCCCCGCCTCCGTTTCACTGAGATCACCTTGAGAGGATGCTCCACACATTGTCCTGTTTTCAGGGATCCCCTGAGAACCCCCATCCCGCCCACCTACTTACACAACCCTTGACATTATGCTGTGTCTGCAGATGGAGATCAGAGCGGGGCAGCCCCCACCGCAGTGTTGGGGCTGCATGGACAAATCGGGTGGCACTCGGGACAGGCGGGAATGAGGTTTCAGGGTACCCCTCTGCCTTCCCTTGGACTCATGGCCACTTTCTGAACATGTGGGCAGCCACCACCAGTTGCCCATGGTCCACAGAAGGGGCCGGAGGCTGGGCGCTGAGATGAGCTAGCTTCATTAAGCCTTTACCCCTACCGTTGTCAGAATCTCCATCGTCTGCTCTTTGCTAACTGCAAAGAAGACTTGGAGCAACTTCTCTTTCTGCAGTTTGTATTTTAAACCCCAATATGTTTTGATCTGTTTTCCAACTAAACTAACAGTAACTGTTTGTTGTGCACTGTACACTTACCCTCTCCTAGAGGGTGGATCCCTCAATGGAAAACCACTGGCTCTGGTGACCTCTGTGGGCCCCTTCCCCTGCTTGTTGTGGTATTGGAGATTTAAATCAGGGACTTTGTACTGAGTTACACCCCTGGCCTATTTTTAATTTTTGTCTTGAGATAGTGTCTCATTAAGTTGCCAAGCTTCCTGGGCTGGGCTCTAACTTGCCTTCTTCCTGCCTCAGCCTCTTAGAGTGCTGGGTTTGCAGGTGTGCACCACCATGCCCAGCTCCTGCAGTCCCTCTTTACAGAGGACCTGGGGGCTTCCTGCCTTCCAGGACCTACAGTTGCATTTGTATAAGCAAGATAGAAATATTCAGGTTCAGCATTGCTGCCCAACAAGAAGTAAGACCTCCATCTCAGGCTAATGAATCTTTCTTTATTTCACTCACCAGAGACAAAATATCCCCAACCCGGTAATGTATGGATTTCCTGTTCTCAGCTCTGTGATTAACTACCCTGGGTGTCCTTGAGCAGGTCACTCAGGCCCTGTGAGCTTCACATTCTGACCTTTAGAATTAGGGAGAGTTTTTAGCTGAGCACGAAATCGTCCAGCTCTGAATGTGTGAGATTCAACCGCAAATAGAACAGTTTAGCCAGGGTGCAGTAGGCTGGACCAGTCCTGATCGTGTGAGTTTTGAAGCCCAGTGTGATTGTAAGTAAAGAACGAGGTAATAGTGATATGAAAGTCATCCATCTTCTGGACAAAGCTGGGGACTTGGGCACCTCCTCCAGGCTGAGTGGTGGCTGAGGTTGGGTTGTGGGGCCCTGGCTGGCGCTGGGGTCTGAGCTTGTATCACGGTGAGAGATGTGGGTGCATGCCCTTCTCAGGTGCCTTCCAGGTTGGCAGAGGGCGCCATGGAGACCAAAGCCTGCCAGGTTTCTCAGGGAAAGGGAGAGAAGCCATATGCTGGGACGTGGTTCTGTACTCTTCCTTTATTCCTTCCTCTGGTAAGACCGTCTCTAGCAAAGGAGGGGCCCACTGTGGCAACACCAATTGCTCTGGGATTTTTTTGATGCTTTTTTTTTTTTTTTTTTGAGACAGGGTCTTGCTTTGTAGCTCAGGATGGCCTCCAACTCACAGGAATTGTTCTGCCTCAGCCTCCCAAGTGCTGGGGTGACCAATGTGCGGCACCACACCCAGCTCACTACAGATTATTGACTTCCTTTCATGTGCCCTAAAGCACTGTGCTAGAAACCTTTTTTAATTGAATTATCTGTTCTTTACAAAGAACATGATATCAGGAACCCATAGTGTTCAGATGAGGAACTGAGGCCCAGAGAAACTGAGTGACCCATCCAAGAATGCTCAGGAAGGAGGGGCCAAGACTCAAACCCGGGCTGTGCCTCCAACCCCCAGCCCTCCCCAGCAGCTTCCTGGAAAGGACCCACTTTTCTGTTCTCCTTGCAGGGAGCTGCAAGGCAGAATGCAAGGATCATGCAGCACTGATTCCTGTATTCTGGGCATGCTCATGCCCTCCTACACTTTCCTGGAAGCATTTTTTCCCAAAAAATTTTATTGTAAAATACACAGTGTAAAACTTACCATTTTAACCAACTTATTGCACAATTTGGTGACATAAGAAATATTCACAACCCTGCACAATAAGCAACAGCATTTTCTATTTCCAGAGCTTCTTTACTCCTAGGAGCTTTTGACCATTGCCTCTTTTTGATTGATTGGCTGATTGTTAGAGAGGTACTGGGGATAGAACCCAAAGGCGCTCTGCCACTGAGCTACATCCCCAGCCCTTTCCATTCTTTGTTTTGAGACGGGCTCACTAAACTGCTCAGGCTTGAATCTTCCTGCTCAGCCTCCCGAGCAGGTGGGGTTACAGGTGTGTGCCACTACACCAGCTTGACTGTTGCTTTTTTTTTTTTTCCATTTTTTTCCTTTTTTATTGAGGTTATTGGTACAATCTAGGTATACAAATACAGTTACATTCATCATTGGGATTCTGTACCTTTACATAATAGGTCTTGATTCTCATTTTTTCCCCTTGTCCCTGCCCTCCCTTCACGCCCTCCTCCCCTCCCCATTTACAAACACTTTATTTCCATTTTTTCAGTTTCTCATATTTTTTTCCTCTCCCTTATTACCTTTCCCCCACCCTTCCCACTTTCCTTACACCTTTAGCCCTTTACTTCCTATTTCACATTATTAATTGTCTCATTAGGATCCTGTGTACTATTATAGTTTTTCACACCAAAGAAACTATTCGGTATTTCAGTTAAAGAAATCTCTGTATGAATATTAAAAATAGGGAATCCTAAAATAAAACTAAAAAGGAAAGTAAAAGAGAAAAGGCAATGATGTAACATCAAAATAATCCTTAATTCTGGAGATGAAAATGGTCCCT